CTGAAAAATGTATGTTATTTTTATTTTTGGCCTATTAAAGTAACTTCATTTTCTTCTAAATCAAAAATTAACAAGCTAAGACTTAGAAACATCTTCCTAAAACTGTATTAAAATTTTTCCCTGTTGAGGTCAACTTTTTACCAATCATACTGATATACAGTGTGATTCCAATTTGATTATCGCTACGGGAAGAGCAGGAACTATTAGATGTAATGAACCGCTTATATAGACAAAATAATGTATAATTTAATGTTTGTAAACATATAACTAAAAAAAATTCTGGTCGTTTATATTTTACTAGAGAAAGTAAAAATTACCCTATTTGAAATTTAGTTATAACTTCATTCTATAGTTGGGCTAAAAAAGTTCTTGAATCATTCTGATCCATTTTTATGCGTTATTTATTGTTATTGCCGTATTTCATTGTTTTCTTTAACCCACGTTTTAGAAATAATTAAATAATTTTTTGAAAGAACGTCAAATTTTATTAAAAAGGAATAACCCTTAACAAATTACACGATATTAAAAGAAAGATTCAATAATTTTTTCAGCAGGACTACGAATATGAGGATTACCTTCAACTGATTTTTAAAAATATTATAATTTTTTTCTGAATAAATTCAGAATGAATAGGAATTGATTTGTTTTCATTGTATCCACAAGCATTAAATTTTTCAGAAAGCAAATCTCAATATCGTATATAAATAATGAAAAGAAAAGTGGGACAGTATAATCCATCTTAGCCAGATTATCGATATAATGACTTTTTGAAGTTTAGCAATAGTATGGTGAACATGTTTAAAAAAAAGCTTTCGAGAAATTGGTACACAAACTCTACATTCTTTTTTTTATACTGAGCCAAAAATTTTTTGTACCACAGGAATCATAGTTACATTTAAAAAAATCAAATTCAATCATTTTTACTCACTAGTCTATTAATTTCTGTCGACACCCGATTAGGTGATATTTTCACTCTATTAGTTTGAGTACAACTAAAATTTTATGAGTGAAACTATTGCAACAGAAATAAGTGAATTTTACTCAAATCCGAGTTTCTGCTATCAAGTGAGTAACTTTTGACTCTATTCTGAATATGTAAAACCAATTAAGAGTTAACTTTTTCTCTAATATGATTTAAGTTTAACTATTATTGAGTATTTTTATACTATGAAAATATCCAGGGGGACGGCGTGTTAAAGTCCACTAAGCTACCACAATGGTTTCTGCACAGATCTGTTTTAGAGACAATATTTAAGTCTCGATTAAAGGAATTGTTTAACTGATCGGACAAATAGATTGCCATAATCTATATTGTACGTTACAGATACGTAAGTGTAAAACAAAATTTAACTATTCACTTATTTCACCAAATACTCAATATACATACTATTGGTTTTATTTATCTTAATGCTGCATTAAAACATAATTTTTACCAAAATAATGGGAATTACGGACACTTGTCCAGCACTACACGCCATACACGAAATGAACTAATAGGGACGATGTGAATAGACAAAGACAACGCACGACAACCATAGAATGGGGTGGGATCACGCAATAATGAAGACATTTACTCCAATTTAGCTAAAGTGCACCTAATACGAGTTTATCTACAGAATTTATTTAACTGGTACCAATATTTAAGTGAAAGTACTCAGTTTTAGTTCGAATATTATCACAAATGAGTAAAATTATCAAAATCAATATTGAGTGAAAATGTAGGTACTCAAAAATTGTACTCAATGCTTTCACTCGCACTAATTTTTTGCTGCATATTTACTAATAAAATGTTTGGTTCTATGAAATAAAATCTTAGAAGCCATTGCCTTGAAAAAATTTACCATGGACTGAAAGCATAGAAGCGAAGTAAAAACTGATTAACCATTTTTCTATTTCCCGATTAATTTAATGTTNCTAAAATTTTATGAGTGAAACTATTGCAACAGAAATAAGTGAATTTTACTCAAATCCGAGTTTCTGCTATCAAGTGAGTAACTTTTGACTCTATTCTGAATATGTAAAACCAATTAAGAGTTAACTTTTTCTCTAATATGATTTAAGTTTAACTATTACTGAGTATTTTTATACTATGAAAATATCCAAGGGGACGGCGTGTTAAAGTCCACTAAGCTACCACAATGGTTTCTGCACAGATCTGTTTTAGAGACATTATTTTAGGTCTCGATTAAAGGAATTGTTTAACTGATCGGACAAATAGATTGCCATAATCTATATTGTACGTTACAGATACGTAAGTGTAGGACAAATTTTAGCTATTCATTTATTTTACCAAATACTCAATATATTATTGGTTTTATTTATCTTAATTAAACTGCTGCATTAAAACATAATTTTTACCAAAATAATCGGAATTACGGACACTTGTCCAGCACTACACGCCATACACCACGCCACGAAATGAACTAATAGGGACGATGTGAATAGACAAAGACAACGCACGACAACCATAGAATGGGGTGGGGTCACTCAATAATGAAGACATTTACTCCAATTTTGCTAAAGTGCACCTAATATATATAATTTATTTAACTGGTACCAATATTTAAGTGAAAGTACTCAGTTTTAGTTCGAATATTATCACAAATGAGTAAAATTATCAAAATCAATATTGAGTGAAAATGTAGGTACTCAATAATTTTACTCAATGCTTTCACTCGCACCAATTTTTTGCTGCATATTTACTAATAAAATGTTTGGTTCTATGAAATAAAATCTTAGAAGCCATTGCCTCGAAAAAATTTACCATGGACTGAAAGCATAGAAGCGAAGTAAAAACTGATTAACCATTTTTCTATTTCCCGATTAATTTAATGTTGTGCAATGTTGTAATACAAAAATCACATACACTGAGCTCGTAAAGTTTAAAATACATTCGATAAATCGTTACTGAAGGGTTTTGACAGGAAATTCTCGAACACGTCAACTTTAGTTTATAAAATGTCACTTTTTCAGCCATCGAATTTTTTTTGTTTTGTTTGTTTATGACGTCATTTGCAATTTCTTTAAATGGCAACCCATATTTTTTTCCACGGATTTCGATATAGCACATTTTTCTGGGTACGAATATGTCAAAAACGTATGACCTTCACGATGGAAGTTTTCGAGATATTCGGTTCCAAAGTTTCAAGAATGCATTATACAAGCGATGACAAAATACTAATCATTTATCAAGGAAGCGCTGGAAAAATTACAGTTTTGATAGTTGAAGTTTGTCCTCGCAAGTTTGTGTTTTATTTTAAGTTAATTAATCATTATTCTATCAGAATTCATTTTATTTGAAAATGGTTCGTCGTTTGAGTGAAAGGGAAAGAATCGAAATTTTGATGATGATCGGTTACGGGGACAGAGCTCGCACACAAGTAGAAGTTTGCCGTTTATTTAATAACAAATATCCAAACAGAGAACCAATTACACAGTCCACGGTTAGTAAAATAGAGCAAAAGTTTTTAGAAATGGGTCATGCGAGAGATCGCCCTAGAACGGGTCGTCCACCAGTACAAGAAGATGTTAAATTGAATGTTCTACTAGAGCTTCAAGAAAATCCCCATTTACCCACCCGCCAAGTGGCGGCAAACAACGGAATAGTTCAAAGCTCCGTCTTAAAATATTTGAAATTGTACAAGTGGCATCCGTATAAAATGGTTTTGGTCCAAGAATTATATGGTTGTGAAACCATGTTGCAACGCCTGATTGATGACGACGGATTCTTACTCAATATTGTTTTTTCTGATGAGGCTACCTTTTAACTCGACGGCACAGTAAACCGGAAAAACTGTCGATATTGGTCTCCAGAAAATCCACACTGGAAAATGGAAACTCGTAGTAGTTTCCACAAAAAGTTAACGTTTGGGCTGGCCTTGTCGGTAACCGTATTTTGGGTCCATTTTTCATTGAAAACGCATTAACAGGTGAACAATATTTTGAATTTTTAAGAGACGATTTAGTCCCTGCACTTGCGGTGCTTTACCCAAATGACATAGATCCCGATCTGCCCAATAACACGATATAGTACCAACAAGACAGTACACCATCTCATTTTGCAGTGATCGTTCGCGACTATTTAAACCAAGTATTTGCTAACCATTGGATTGGTTGAAAGGGAACTATCGAATGGCCCCCTAGATTTCCGGATCTCACTCCCCTAGACTAATTTTTATGGGGCTATTTAAAGAGCAAAGTCTATTTCAATGGACCAAATACTATTGAAGAATTAAAGGACATAATTCTCAATGAAATTCGAGCCATTCAACCAGATATTCTTGATAAGGTTCTGCAGGAGTTTCAGTGGCCGATGGGATATTGCCAAGAAGTGAATGGAGGTCACTGAAAATTTCCTCTGATTTTCTCGTTTACTTTAATTATTTATCATTTATATAGAAACCTTTTTTCATTTGTTAAAATTGTTGTTGAATGATTATTACTTAAAAAATTAAATAAATTACTCCTAAGATGTTCGATAAGCTATTAAAAAACTTGACCCACTCGATACCTTGTACATGGTACATTCTTGAAACTTTGGAATCGAATAGACAGTTTGTGTCCGATACGTGAACGTATACGTAGATTTGACCGTTGCGCATGCTCAAATTCGTATCATCTACAATCAACTTAAACTGTTCATTATCTCGAAAACTTCCATGTTGAAGGTCATACGTTTTTGACATATTCGTACTCAGAAAAATGTGCTCTATCGAAATCCGTGGAAAAAAATATGGGTTACAATTTAAAAATATTACCGATGACGTCATAGCTCAAAAACGAACAGAACAAAAAAAAAGTCGATGGCTGAAAAAAGTGACATTTTATAAACTAAAATTGACGTGTCCGAGAATTTCCTGTCAAAACCCCAATAACGATTTATCTAATTTATTCCAAACTTTACGACCTCAGTGTATATTCATTGGGGTATGTTTTTAGTTCAGTTCAGTGAAGGGTTAAATGTGAAGAAAAGAACGATAATAATACTACAATTCTTATTAATAAACAAACTGTCGCCAAAGCAAATATCCCTATCCAAGTCTAAAAGTAATAATACAGTTAGTTTAGCGGTGTTTATTAATGACTCTTTTCATAAGCGATAAAACTTAGTTATCTGGTTCATCGAATGCACCTGGCGGTGGGGGCGGGTGAAAGAAATCACGTCTCTTCAGCCTCTCCTGCAGCCTGGCGCAGGATTTCTCGTCCTTAATCTGGTCGGCGGGGCAATTCAGTTGGATTTCTCTGTGCAGGCAATGGGCTATTTTAATGCCAGCCGGATTACAGGAGGTACTATCGGAAGCATCGCGGTTAGCCGTGGCGTTCTTGCCCTCGTCCAGGCATGTGGAGATTACTTTGTCCTGCAGGGCTGCTAACCAGGATTCCGACGAGAAGCTCTCCTTTAGGAAGGATCGGAATTCCTCTTCCTTTGGGTTGCCCTCGGTGTCGAGCTGGAAAATATCACACGCAAATAGTATCGGTTAAAAGTTACGGAAAGAATGGAGGATTAATATATATGTGTATAATACAGGTTCTTTTTTACTTTATTTTAAAGCTAATTTAAATAAATTCATTTTTTCCCTAAATATGCATTCTTCTTCTTCCATACCAAAACTGGGTATGCAAAAAGACATCTAACCTGAATTATATCAGCAATATCAGTTATTAATTAGTAATTATATAAATTTGAAAATAAAACGTCTAAATATTATTTGAAAAACACATATATCTGACATATTGTATTTATTAAATAATGTGATCTTTCAAAGAAATATTTTCTATTTTTGTTGCTCTTAACATCACCCTTGGCAAAAACCATTATGCAAAAAGAGCCACAATGGATAAGATCTTACTATTTCTGCATTTAATTTTAGAATTGCTTTTCCATTTTTTTTTTAATATTACAAGGCATTTACAGGGTGAAAACACAAATTTAAAAGCAGTATTAATTTCACAGATATTAGAGACTTTAGTCCATAATAATCAAAAAGCATACTACAGTAATAAACATTAAAAATTATGATATAATTCTTAATATTTTGTAATTATCACAAAATTTTGAGATACATTGGGTGCCTAGAGTAAATTAAAAGCGTCTTAGGTATCATTAAAATAAATTAATTCAATATTATAAATTTCAAGTAATTATTATCCATTTTCATTAACGTCAATAAAGGTTAAATCTCAAAAAAATGTCGTACTAGCTATGTGTAAGTAAATTTTCTAATTAATACAGGCTGTAGAGCAGTAAAAGTAAGCTTTGACGTTTGTGCTTGAAGTGATTTATTTTGTTGTACAGAAAAATCCCAAATATTATGTAGAATAAGAATCCGAGTTTGCCTATTCCAAAAACCCATTGCTAAATTCAGGGGAACAACAAACATAGAAAAAGAACGAAAAATTACCCGTCTTCCGATATATTTTTCCCTGTAACATTGAAAGTAAGCCCTAAATAAAAAAAGTCATTCTTTATTTTTTCTTAAATTGACGATTTTCTATAAAGTTATAATAACTGCGAATCTGAAAAGTTGAATATTGTATTAACAATGGGCGAAAAATTGTAGAAAATCATATGTATACTTGAGGCAATTTTTAAAATAAGTAAATAATTAAGTATAAATATTCATGAAACTTTGTAAAACATATGTCAATTCTACCCTAAAAATTTTGCAACGATCGATTTTGGATTGACAGGATTGTAAATTAAAAAATTTCAAAGTTTATCGCGTTCCGTGGGTTTAAATTAAGGTTTAGAATGGGCACACAATTTTTTAGAGATACTTGTTGTCGTAATAAATAATGGTCAATACTAAAAATACCTACTTTTACACTTTTATAACCATTTAAAAATTTTTTAAATTTTTTCAACATTTTACTCTATAAACAATTATTTATTGCTCAGGGAATTTTCTATGCAATCGACAAAATCTTGCACACATAAGAACTACGTCGTAACTTCTCGCTTTTTAGCCAAATGCGACAGCATTCTACTGTGTAGATTCTGAGATAACTTCTTAGAAAATCGTCAAATATACAAAAAATGAAGAATGACTTTTTATTATTATCACGTATCACCCTATATATATATCGAACACATTAAAGACAATTTGATATGCAGGCATAAAGCTTGATAGTATTGGTGGTAAGTGAATTGTGTCAAAAATTAAGCAAATACAGTAAATTCGATATAGATGACGGACGATTAATGTTGAATTGCCATTAAAAATGTAATGCAGAGTAACATAATTTTTTTCAGAAATATATCCCTGTTTTGATACCGCTAGAAAGATATAAAGTTATAAAAACTTCTTCCGTTTAGCATTTTTTTGTTTTTAAATGTTTTCGAGATATTAGCAGATGAAAATCACTTTCTAGAAATTCTCTGCTTTGATATATGAAAAATGGATAAAACTAGGGAGAATTTTCTTGATTTTTTTTTCGAAATTAACGTACCTACAAATGTCACAGAATGAACAAAATTTATGTATTAATTTATGTACAAACGTTTTTTTAGATTGGCTTCAAATTTATATTTTGAAAAAATGAAATGTTAACAACACCTAAAACATTATATTTATTTGTTTTTTTTTAATGGAATTAGTTATTCTACATATCATAAAAATTCGTATATACATTTGGTTTCATAGTTTTAGAACACCTACTAGTATTAACAATTATGACAAATTTAACTAGATATTCCAATGCCGGAATTATTTTTTACAAGGTCTATATACAGGGTGCTTCATAAAGCCTGATTTCCGAGTAAAACTTAGAAAACGAACTGAAACAATTTTACTTGAATGACATGACAAACTATAATCAATCGGTTATTTATTCGAATAAAGAAATTAATAACATTAGTCATCATTTTAATAATTTTATTTGAGTAAATGCTCAAATATCTCAATTTCCACGAACACAGGTCCGACATCTTTTTAGTAACGAAAATGTAATTTGTTCGAAATTTATTATTGCTTGAATCCGATGAAAAACATTATTTATTCTTTCGCCTAACTGCTCAGAATGTCAAAGTTGCTATCGCAGCCCACTATGTAATTTTAAAAAGCATTATATTCGAATAGCAAAGTGTATTCTTAGTTCGTTTTTTAAGTTTTACTCGAAAATCAGACTTTTTTCGAAAAACATAAGAGAGTAGTAATTTGTAGAAAATTGAAAGACGAATCCGAAAATATCATGGATGTTACCGTAAAGCAGTGGCGTACTATTTTATTTAGAAAAATATGCCACCCATACCCTGTATCTCCGCCACTGGAGCATGTAAATTTTAGGAAAAGCCCTCAGGTTTTGGACAATGTTTAGATAGATAAATAAATATGCCCAATTTCAGATTATTTCACTTATTAATTTCGAAACTATTTAAAAAAATGAAAAATATATTTTGAATTTGAATTTATCTATCTTTTTTAGCGTCCTGGATAAAAACTTTTTAGGAAAGACTCCCCTTAAAATTCAGCAAAGAATTTTCACCAAAGAGTTTCATTTTTGGTCACCATTTGTGAATCGCCCTGTATATACTCGCTGATTGTTTATATTAAATAAATAAAAATTACCCATGCGGTACTTATATGTATTCCAATATAATTAATATAAATCTATTTCCGTTTACAGTATAAAATTATCAAAATTATTATAATTAGATTACAATCATGACATAAATAATATACACGCTAAGCACGAGGAGTCGTTTTAATGTATAACGATATTATTAGCCACATAATATGCGGAATTTTGTAAATATATTAAAAATAAATTATAGCGTACAAGCTGTGAAAAACACTTCATGGAATTTAGGGATTTACTCAAGTCCGATTAGGTTAAAAAAAATACTATTTCCAAAATACGCTTTTATACCTACTCTTTTATATGTACCGACCTTAACATAAATAATTTCCCTTTCCATTAATGCTAATTATCAATTGAAATATATTTTTAAATATATCTCCACATTTCACATAAAATCACAAGAATCTTGAAAACTAAAATTTAAAACTAAAAGCAAAACAATTCATTTAGAATCGATGCTTTCGTTTAAATTAACGATTTCAAACAAGACAAAAATATATATACATGTTCTGTAAATTAAATAAAAGATATTAAATTTGATTTTAGAGGGCTACTTACCAAATCCTTTTTCTGCCCAACGCATTGAATGACACACTGAAAAGTAAAATATATTGTTTCAGAATTTCCTAATTATTTTACTTATGTATATCATTAAACTATTTTTTTGCTTATTTGCCGTTTGAAAATTTATACACTTTTTTGTATTTGTAGCTAAATCTACTCAACTGGGATCGTCTACTTACCACAATTTGTTTTTTACGCTGATCCATTGTCTCACAGTTGAACGGATCGAATTTCTCATGCTTGTCTTTTCCAACAACTTCCTTGAAACATTCCCTTTTCAGGTCTTTCTCAACATCGCGCATTTTCGCCATGACATCTTCTGCGCAGCACAGTTCGCCCCATCTCTTACGGTGATGGCATTTATCCTTGTCGTTAACGGCTTCATCGTCTCGACGACTCCTCGGGTGGGAAAAGGAAGCAACGCCACTTGACAGTTCTTCTAGGTCATCAGAGAGCAGAATATCTGAAAAAAAATTAGAGTAACTACAACGAAGCTAGAAATATAGCAATTATTATCAGTTGTTCAATTATTGCTGAAAATTATTCTTCTTTAATTTCATATAATTGGTGAATGAAGAAAAATACAAAAAGATGGGTTGCGCCCAGTTCAAACAAAACACTTTGAAAGTAACGTAAAATTTATTTATTAGTTATCTCATCAAGAGAAATTTTTTGAAAAAATGAGTAATAAGAGAGCTATGGAATAATAAATCTCGGCTAGAACACCCTGTGTGGCGACGGAAAATCATTGCAGCAGAAATTAGTGAGTTGTTAAAAAAAACAACTGAGAATGAGTTATGTCATTTAATCCACTTCGAGGAAGGAATTAAAAAAATCTTATTTTCCCATGAAATGACATACCTACCAATACATCCAGAAAATACAACTTTATCCAGAAAAGCGACAAAATCATATGATTAAAAAAATAAATTCAAAGCCACAGTAATAAAATTAAAAAATTGTACAGAAAATAAATTTAAAAAAATTACTTATTGCTATCTAAGAAAATTTAAATTCTAAAATCGTATATTTGGCAATAGTCCCAGGTGTTAAAATAAGAGAAAATTATTATCAATTTAAAAATAACAATTTTTTTTCACTTCTACAAGTCATAAAGCTATACAGGGTGATTCATAACTTATCCAAAAAAAAATTAGGAATAGATTCGGAATGAGAAATAGAGTCAATATCGTAAAAAAATGTATAATCCTTATAGTTTCCGAAAAATAAAAAATATTGAAGTTATAGTACTTTCAACCATTACATAGCTGAACAACTGTAGTCTCTAGCGTCATTCGCAATACGCGTGGAGAGCCACATGGTCTCAGCGACTCCGAATACTGAAATCCGAGTGTTTACAATAGTTATTTATTAGTTAGTGTCAAAGATGACTTGCGTGTATAGCAACTCGGAGTTGATGGATATCATTTTAATTTATGGTGAAGCAAGACAACATTTGTGTTAGTTCGTAGAAACTGAGTAAGACGGACCCAAATATGTTCACACGTCGGTGGACAAAATTTTAAACAGTTGTTCTAACATCAGGTATGTCAAATTATTTTATTATTTAAAACCACAAATTTATTTTATTATTTAATAATACTAATAGCGGCAAAACCAGTTGAATTTGCTGATATAAGGCGTTTTCGAAAATTTACTTAAACTGCTCAGATCATTATCTTTATCTCTGTCATTCTTATGGTTTTAGAGAGATAGGACGATATGTCTAGATTACTACGAGTTAATTTTCGTAAACCCTTATAAAATAGGTGCTATAAAATTCTATTTATTTTTTTCCTTGCGAAATTCTTTAAAGTTTTTGTCCGTTTTTATCGCACTTTGCCGCCATGCCGGTCGCATTGTGCAAGGTCAGGTTTTACAGTGGACCAGTTTCCAGTGCCGTGCAGAAGTGTATTTAATACAGAAGATCTATCTTACAGTGTGGTACGTTAATATTTATTTGCACTGATTAATTTGTTTTAAAATACGTATGTTGTAGTTATCCATTGCAATAAAAAATTTAAAAGTAAAAACGATAAAATAGTGTCCAGCAAACACTTGTATGGCCTATTTACAATGTAGTCAAATGGTAGGTATAAAATACAAGGGCTTTGCATTATAATTCAACCGACTGATAATAATCAAACAATGTGGCGTTCATGAAATAAATAATGACACTGTTTTGAGAAACCGAGCACTGGTCTAGTGTAGGACAAAATAAGAACAGCATTTAAGTATAACTCCGGTTACTGAAATGAAGTTGCATACGAAAAAATAAAGTTGAATCGCATCTCAAAATCATGTAAAGATAGAGAAGTTTTTTTCGTCATATTTAGGAATTTGTTAAAATAACTTATATAGGAATAGTCCACGGGCCCACGTAAAAAGAAAAAAATGATTACCATTAAGCTGTAACTTGCCTGCAGCTTAAGTTTGACGAGTCTCCCAAGATTTGACTATGAGGAAAATTCAACAGTGGTAAGTTTTCCCGTGATTTTCAGGAAAACATGTCAATCTGGCAAAAACATGGAATGTTATGACCAGCACTTTTTTTAAGTTTAAATGAAAGATATATTTTTTTAAACCCCCTAAAAAAATTTGTCCGACAAAAATGTTGGTATTTTGAGTTTGTCCCCCACCCCAAATATGTCGATTTGGTGACATTATGGTTGGTGATAACCATCAAGTTGATTTTTCTGGGAGGGTTTGATAATAAGATTTGAAATAAAAGTATCTTATTGTCCGACAAAAGTTTTTGCAGTCCGACGCCCCGAAGATGTCGACTTAACGACAACATGGTTGGTGATAACCAGCAATCTGATATTGATTTTTTTCTCTAATAATTGAAATGTATAACACAATAATATACTTGTCCGCCAAAAAGATTCGAAAATTTGCCTTAATAATGGGAAAAATAACTATTTTTATGGTACCTAATGTTCATTCCGCTATAAAATAATTAATTTTTTAATTAAAAAATAAAGAAGAATCAATAATAAAATTATCTTGTTGACAGGAGCAACAGAAATTGGAATTCATAAATAATTATGTCTAACTAATTTAATTAATCTCCATCAAAATGATTTCTTTGTTCAAAAAACTTATGTACATTTTATTTTATAAACTATTGTAACTATTTTATAAAAAATGGTAACTGTACAATGAATGCATAAATTATTGCTTGTGTCTTTTTAAATTAAAATTTGCAATCTTGTTTTGACAAACAGTTTACACATAGTTTTGTTCTTGAAAAACCAATTAAACCAATTTTAAACCAATTTTAAAAATATTATTATACACTTATCAACGCGTTTATTATAAGATTGTCTTGTTGTAAAGTATAAATCCTTAATGCGAAATGACTTTGCAGCATTTAAAACCTGCTGCCAAAGTTCTTAACAGGTGTTAATAGTTCCTCCATAAACAACTGATTTCATGTAATCCCAAAAACTGAAGTCTCGGCATTCCATCTCACATTTATGTACATACAATTTAAATTAAGATGTAATTTTAGGTACGAATAATACTTAATGGACAGTAGCATACAAATGACAGCAATAAGACAAGTGGAATATGTCAATTATTTGATTTTCGTCCAAACTTAAGAAACTTCACCGCTAAATTAATAATAGGTAGGTACTTCATTGTAATTTAATTCAACA